AACACAATGCGTACTTCATGTATACCCTAAACCCATTAACAGTGGGTATAATGTTTTTGTGCAAATCTACGTAGAAGGTAGAAGGAAGCATCTCCGACCCCATTAAGTCTAACATACATATATGTATATTCTTGGTCAGCATCAAGTCGATCTAGCCATGTTCGTTTGTGTGTCCTTCCGTCTGGCCGTATATAGTAGTTCCTCCCAGTGCTGGCGCAGCACGAGTTTACATCCGTTTGAGAATCGATAAATTATTTCCTTTCCATCCAATCGATAATAATCTATATTGGAAATCCTGATTTTTGATCTAGTAACTTAGCTGTTATGGGTTAGAGATACTACAATTGACATGTTGCTTATAGAATAGTATAATCAAATGAAGTATTTCAGAAGGTTGAGGGTATACCCTGGTCGGGCACTCCCCACTAGAGCCCTATTACGTTGCTCTGTGAACTTTGGCACTGGGGCAATGGCTGCTGCTGTGTCCTGTTCCTTGAGCTCTGTATCCCTCTGTATGCCTGCTATGGCCATGGGCTTTGGCTGGGGCTGAGGAAAGCAACGTAACAATCGATTTTCTTGGCTTAGGTCGAGTAAAACTCAACCTTAAAAAAAAACGCTTAAGTTTTATTGTATTCCAATCTCATTAACTTCTTTTATTATTATTTGTATTTTGCTTGCTTCCAAATAGCGCACTCTCGCTCGCACGCACACAAATACACATTCACTCGCTCTCTTTCTTCTGCCCAGGCCCTCTTTCCTTTTGTCTCTCTCTCTCTCTCTCTCTCTCTCTCTCTCTCTCTGTTATACCATTCCCGGTCTTGCCGGCTGCCCTTGCTTTTGCTCCAATTTACGCTTTGTCCCTTTTCGGGCTGTTGTTGTTGCTTCAGCTGCTGTTGCCGTCTGCTGCTGGCAGCGACGTTGGCAGCGCTTGACGTATGTAACCATAAGCTAGCCGTATGTGTGTGAGTGTGTGTGTGTGAGTGTGCGTGCAAATAAAATCGCATAAAATAAAGCAATATCCTTCACTTATTTGACATTTTGGGGCAACATTAATGAGGCTTGTTGCTGTTGCTGCCGCTGTTGTTGTTATTATCGCTGTGGTTGCCATTGTTGGTTGTTTTGGTCGTGGCCACATTTTGGCATCTTGACATCTTTTGGGCATCTGCTGGCATTTACGTTTGCGCTGGGCGCTTTAAATTCAATAAATATGCCAATCTCATGATTAATGAACCGCCATCATGACCATAACAAGAAGAATCGAAAATTGGGCAGATTTTTTTGTCTAAGCCAGCGCTGTCGTTTGATATTAAGTATACTTTGATATCAAGTATACGCCTCGCAATTGAACGCGTTTCGAAAATTAGTCATCAATGGCGGTATAGCTGACGCCCCCAGTCCGCACAGTACCCCTGGTCCTGCCAACAACCCCTTATGACTGCATATTTTGCATTTTGATTACTCTACTGCGCATCGGCTCGCCTTCTTGCCTAAATCCCTGACATCATTAAGGGCCCAGCCTCTAAGCCGCTGCCTGTGCCCCTGCCTCTGGCGGTTCGAAGGGCCGTCGCCTGGCAGTTTGTTGCGGCTGTTCCAGCCTCAATATTGGTGGTGTTAGTCAGCATCAAATGTTTGCATATGCCTCATCGTCATCGCCGTCTGCATCCTCATTCTTATTCTCGTTCTCATCTCCATTCTCATTCTTATTCTCATCGTCATTCTCATTCGCATCATGGCTGTCAGTTCGCTTGTTTGCCTTTTGTTGCATTTTGCATACTGTACTTCGATTTGCATAATCTTAAGCTTTTGCACTCGCCAGAGGATTTCAGAGGACACGCCCGATACAAGAGATCACACACACAGATACACATAAACACACACCCACAGAAAGACACACAAACACACATACAAAGATACACGCACACAGAGTCTACATTTCAATTTTAGCTTCTGTTTTCATTTCTGTCCCCTGTCGTGGCTATGAAAATATTTGACAGCATCTTTAACTGAGCATAAACAGCTGCAACAGCAACAGGAAAAGTTTGCGGAACGTGCTGGACTTAATGTATTTATATATAGATGTATTTGTATGCACGGACAATCCATTTAAATACATAGTATATATTTAGCAAAATCATATTATACCCCATTTGAGACTTATTTCAATTGTGGAAATTCACAATTTTCAAATAATACTAGATACGTAGGTAAATAAATAGCTGGTCAGCTTGAAATGCATGTGTCAATACACATTAACTTAACTATAAATAACTTTCAATATGTTCCATCTAAGCTTAAAATTGAGTTTTGTGTGATGAACATAGATATCAGATATCATGGGGAAATATCTACAAGTGGCTAACAAATCTTTTGTTATGGAGTTTTATCACAAGCACAATCATGTAGCTGGGCGTTTTTGCGAGGATTAGCGTCGAGTCAGAGCAAGCTGAAAAAGCTCTTGGCTAGACTCTCCATATCATAAAACATTATAAATTATTGCATGAAATGTTTCAGCACTTCGTTTAATTTTTTTGTTACTGATGAATTCTTAAAGTCACGTTCGGCGTACTCTTACCGACTTCTTCCGGCAAAAGTATCATATGACAACAGATGACACTTTGTGTGGCCAATTTAGACAATTTAAGAGCGAAGTCTCACGTTTGTTACTTAATCTTGACAAAATATCCACAGAATTATGATTGAGCCAATTTGTAAAATTATCTCTCACACTTAATCTATGAATTGAGAATTTTGCCTAAAATGAGCAAACTTGAGTAAATAAATAATTTATTTATTTATTTCTTATGCTAACTGCTTACAAAAGGAACAAAAGGAATAAAAACAAATCGAAGTAAAAAAAATATATTAATTTTTAAAAATTTAGTTTAAACCAGTCACAACAGCATTTTGTCATTTTTTTTTATTAATAAATAAAGCTGCATAATGAGATTATTAAAAGCTTTTTTAAGAGTATAACTAATTGGTAAAAGATATTTCCGGTCGCACATGAAGGGTATTCAATGAGTTTCGAAGGTAGCTTTAAATAGATATAACAAATAGGATACGAATGGGAATTGAAATCGCGACAGAAGCCTTCTTGAAAGTACTCAAAGTTCTTGTAGCTGCTTAGCAGAAGGCAGCTGTTGGCACATTTGTCAATAGAATGCATACACATAGACATACACAGGCACACAGAGACACACACAATGCGCCCACACACGCGCTGCGCTGCATGGTTAGCTGGCAAAGCCGATTAGTTGCCCATGGGATTGGCCAGAAGGAGTACTATTGCCCCGTTCGAGTGGAGGGGGCAGGCGCATTGCCGATCTTCAAGTGAGAGTATGGGCGGCAATGTATTAGCAACCCCAGAGTGCAATGCGTTCAACCGAATGCAGTCTGTTTGCCTGGATGCTTGTGCCACAGTGTAAAATATTTAGACGCCTCCATTGTTTTGCTGTTTTCTGCCTTAGTTGCGCTTGAAGGACGTCAATGTTGGGTGGTGATGCCGGTGGGGCGGTGGTAAACCCTTGGGTGCATTCGGAAAATATACTGAGCCATGTGCTTTGTTAGTTTTCAATCAAGAGTTGTTTATCAATGTTGCAAGCAACAAAAGGTAATGGCTAATAATAAGCGGAACTGGCAATGGGGACGGAGGCACAGGCGTTGCCCCTGCCAACCGGTTGTGCTTGGTGAAATGAAATGTGGAAAACATATGAAAAATCATCATCGACCAGTCAGCGGCAAATGAACGCGCACACAAGAGTGCATGGTTCGTGCTGCATGCGCAATTTATTAAGGACGCAGCCCACGCTGCGTGTTCGTGGTATGCGTCATGCACAAGCACGTTGGACAGGAGCAGGCGCCTAGGCGCAGTAGCTCTGCTTATTTTGTTGTTGCCAATCAATGTGGGCCGCTATTTTGGCACTGGCTTTTATATCACATATATTTGGCCCAGTTCCAATTTATTGGCATTCGAATGCAGCAACCATTGCGGCCCTTGCATTTACAACATAAGAACAACGAGAACAACAACCACAAAGAAAAAAAAAAGAAAACATTGGCCAGTATTTTGAGCACAAGGGCAACGTATATGTGATCAATAAGTGCCATCCAAGCAACGAAAAGCATAACAAGAAATGTATGTATGCATATACTTGGCTATATCTGAGAGCATGTAATATAATCTTTCTCAGTCCATCGTTTTGCGACTGAGGCAATAAACTTATCTCTCAATGTCGTATCATATATTAGGGCCAATTTATCTTGCAGGCGGTACTAAAATTTACACTTAGTCTGCTGCTATAGAGTTTATCGGTGTAGAACTCCCCAGCTATCGGGTTCAATATGCACATCTTTTGTGAGTGCTTTATCAAATAGCTGCTTTAACCAAACCAAACTAACCAAACTAACTTAAATTCTTTTTATTGTCAGACTACAAAGCCCTACATTTCCTTGAGAGTATTCGATACATATCCATTTTACAACCAGAAACAAAGCATACATTAAATTTATTAAAAATCGGAAAGATAGAGCCTTTTGTTTGGAGATGATGTGTATATTACACACATGCCATGTTAAAGCCGCGGAATTTCATAAGAATCGGAATATAAGCATCGAAGTTATGCAATAATGCATTTGCTAGTGGAAGGAAGAAGCACAAGCTCTGCCCAAAGAGCGTATAACTGCTTGCGTATGAGTGCTTAGGTGTATATACAGAAGGAAGTTCGTATGTCTGCAACGGCAGTTAGACTTTAGTCTTAGCCTATCTCCAAGTCGGGCACTCCCGATCAATTTTTCTTGTTGATAATCCTGCACAAATTCATTAAGGCGTTTTTCCTAACAGAAATATATTTGTTCATTACCCCGTCTTCTTTGTATAAGTAGCGAACGTTCACTCGAATGATAACTGCACGATTTTTAAATATTTCAAGCACGATTAATTTAATTTAATATCGAGTCCATATGGGATGAAATGCGGCATTATTTCATCCCATATGGATTTGTTGATTTACTCGCATGGTGGTCGACGCTTTATATAACTGGGATAAGCCACAGGCGGCACTTTTCTTTTGCGCGGATCCTCCTCGTTGCTTTCCGAGGATGTTGACGACAGAATGAGATCCGACGGTGTGCGTCGGACAGGCACATGAGCGCGTCGCAAATGGTGAATTTTTAGCGCCTTTTTGGCCGTCTCAATGTTTCGATTCTCAAAACGGTCTTCTGCCGTCGACAGGCCAGGTCTATCGCATGCTGGGCATTGGGTGGCCACGCTGCGCTGGTTCTTTCTTAAAAAGCGTTTCCTATTCCTAAACATGCAACAGTTATTGTGGAAGCTGGGTGATTCAAAGATCTCATCCATTTTAAACAATGTGAATTTGAAGTTTTTCGAAAATGGAAATGAAATATGTTAACTGACTAAGGTATAAAAAATCTAATAATTGTGCGATTGCACAAACTCTTGTGACGTTATTCACCTGGATTGCTCAGATTTTGAAGCCCACGCACAGGGAATTGCGCCGTCGTTTATGCCCGACAGCTAGGCTTATTCACGATTGCATTGAACTCATGTAACAAGCAGATATGACATTGACATAGGGCATCTTCTAGTCGTTTAGAATTTAGTTTGAGAAGCGATAACAAGTCAAACACTTGTGCTTACTGCATATACCCCTTATAATCTCTTGGTTACACAGGGTAACACTAAGCCAAATGCGACAGAGAAATCAAAATCCAAATCCAAATTGAAAGCATTGCGCTCGAGATGTGTTTCAGGGCGCAGCTTGAAAAAATGGGAAATCACAGCGGCATTTAATGGTGGCACGCACCAGCTCACACACATACAGCGAACACACAAGCACACACACACACACAGTCAAACACATACAGCAGACATTTGCTGGAATGCTAGACAGCTGTGCGCCGAGTTTCCCAGAATTATTGCGGGCTGCTTAAAGCCGGATAAAATTTGGACCAAAAATAGAAGTAGACATAACAGATTTTGGCCAAATTTCGTGACTGTAAGCCAGCATTCAATTAATTATTGCCAAATTAAACGTAAAATATCAAAAGCTATTTATAATGCATGCGAATAATTTCATTAAACTAATCGCCCAGCGGACCGAAACGCTCCGGGATGGGTAAATGATGGCAGGGCTTGTGTGTGACTGTGTGAAAAGCAGTTAAATGGGCACGTGTCCCCGGTTCAAGTGCGTGTTTGTGCGTGTATCTGCGTGGGTGTGAGTATGCGTGTGCGGGTGTGTAGGCGAGTGCTTCTGCTTGTGCGGGTGGGTGAGTGTGTGTGTGCGTGTGTGTGTGTGCCCAAAGCCTGAGGAAACGGAAGCGTCATGGAAATCGTAGACATGTCGTCAATGTCACAAGCTAAACAGCGCTAACAACACACAGGAAGTACCACAAGCAACAACAATAGCAACAACAATAGCAACAACAACAGCAACAACAACAACAACATAAACAACTACATTAATGACGCGTTGTTGGCGCCTCAGCATTCATCATCACCTGTACAGCAACACCTGTAGGCTATGGACGCTGTAAAGACGCCGCTCGGCGCTGGGAGCGCTGTCAACGACATCAGAAAGCGGCTGTCATAAGCAGCAGCAAGAACAGCAACAGCAGCAGCAACAGGCAACAATGTTACCGTTGCCTTTTGATGTTGTTGTTCTTATACCGTTTTTTGGTGGGCATAAAAACTATGTCACAAATTTTGTCACGCATGTAAATTGACGACTCGGAATCCACATAAAGCACAAAAATATATCAACAGCCGGTTTGAAAAGCCATGTTTGTCTGTTGGTTTCTATACGAATTAAAAGGTCCGTCTTTCTGTTCCAAACCATCCTTATCCGATAGCTATATTATGCAACGATAAATAATAGGGCGAAATTTAAGATATATGTTTTTCATGATATCTAGACCACTCGGCATTTATTAGTTTCATTTTCCTTCTTACATGTATGCAAAACCCTATCATATAGCTGGAACAGGAAATTTAAGATCTTGTCTGACGATATTTGCGAGTTTTACGAATCTGCTGTCATAAGTGGGATATCGTATCAACATCGAACTACTATATCACTATAGCTCCGTAAGAGAAACCCGTTTAGTTTTTGCCAGGAAAATGTTCTTTTTATTTCAAGTTACCTTGAACAAACTCAAGTACTGCCAGCTTCACTATTCTTGCAACAAAACTGGCTAATATACCATAAGCTGCATTCAAGGGTATTTAATCTTCGGTGTGTCGTCGGTAGGCGTTCTTTCTTGTTCATTTTCATACTGTCGCCAGTCCTTGGCTCGACAAGCAAGAGCTCGGCTTCAACTCATAAAATCTACCTAATCCACTTAGGCACAATTAACGCTAATAACATCATGTAGTTAGACACGTGTGCACGCCAAATGGGTGTGACTAGGTGTTGTGTGGGGAGGAGTGGATGGGGGTGATGGCGAAAGGGTGCGTGTGCGTGCGGCTCGAGGCAGAGATGATCAATAAAGTGATTTGTAAATCAATGTGACAACTGCGAAGATGTCTAGTAACTAATAATTGCGAATAGTTGGTTTGAGCACAAATTGTGAAGTATTTTATAATTTTTTGTGTGCAAGTCAACTCAATCAGTTTCGATTTGGAGTGTGTTAAGGCCTTCTTGGCAGCTCTAAGCTTCAGCATTTTTAGTTTATTTATAAGAATTAGGTAGTTTTATGCATATACAATTTACCTTGATCAGCAAATGGTCGAGTATTTTTAGGAATAAATATAACAGTTTTTTTTGGGAATATTTCGAAGTGACATTTTTTTTAATTATTTCCAAATTAGTCAAAAGCGCCTACCTTTAACTTAAAACTAAAACACAATTATAATTTTTCAGGAATCAAGTGTAAATGTTTTAGTTAAAAATTTATTGTTTAATAATGAAAGTCATGTCCATATGGACGTAAGTTCAGGAGGGTGAATCCTTTTCAGTTTGCGGCGCCATGTGGGCACACTTAGCCCTCCTGCTAGCGTATTTGGATTAAAGAGCAGGTAATCGTTGTATTGACTGGAGTGCCGATTAGCTTGATTCTCTTTTACTCATGTGTCGAACTCTTTCGAAGTTCCCCAAATACTAGAAGAGGCCAGATATTTGTTTCGCAGCGCACGACTGGATGTAGCTTAGCCCACTTGGATCGCATGGCACCTCGTGGGACGAACACTGGCACTCTTAACGCAATGATTTCTTACACACTTGACAGTTTATTGCTCGAATGTGCCAATTATGCCTATAAGACTATAGCCTATAGCTGACCTAGGTGACCTCACTGATTGTAAACTGTTCTGGGTTACATTCAAGCGATGGTCGAAGGAGCTTGATCAATTTATATGTGTACAAAAGCAATGCATTGAAATAAGCGGGATCCTGGTATTCAATTGTCGTTAAAATTTAGAAGACTTCTTATGACTAAATAATCGTTAATCGTTCTCTTAAAATAATTGTTAAATTGTGCTTGATATAATATTTATTGATAAATTAATCAAATCAAATATGGTAAAACTATACTGTAATAATTAATTATCAACTAAATTTACTTTATACTTTATATATTTGGTATTAGTTTCTTATGCAAAACAAACTGCTGCTCATTAGCTGTATTTAAAAATTAATAACAATAGCTATTGTTAATTTGTAAAGGTGTGATTTTTTGTTGTCAATGTTACTTTCAGATATTCGTTACATGTCACGGGTTGCTCATCTCTTTTTCGGTATACGTGGATGCGTCGGAGGTCTGGTTGTGACAGCTGTGTGCACACACACGCACACACACACGCACACACACACGCACACACACGCACACACACACGTACACACACACGCACACACACACGCACACACACACATCGACACACTCATTACGACACACACACTCCAATACACAAATACGCACTTGCTGAATTTGACTGCGTTAACATGAACATCATTTTGTTGCTTGCCACTCTCTCGAGTGGCAGCTTCGAGTTACTTTGACTTTGTGCCCGGCTGCAGCAGCTACTGCACCCTGCGCCTCTAATTAGTTGCAGTTATTCTGGCAGTTGCACTGCCAGTGACATTCGCTACAGTTGACTGTTGCCGTTGTTGTTGTTGTTGGGTAACCTGACGTTGGGCCCAGGCTAATGTGCATTTCACTCTGTTGCAATTGCAATGCGAGTTGCAATTGAATCAAAGACTGTCCCTCTCTGTATTTTGAGCAAGGGACTACTTAGCTGAACGGAGTGGGGTGGAGTTGGCGGAACGAAGGGAAGGGCGGTCTATAAAAGCGATCTGCCAGTTGCCGGAGCCAAAGCTGAGTAAATTTCCCTTAATTTTGGTGGGGCGTTTGATGCATGGAGTTAATGCAAAACAACTGCGAGGGAAGTAAGCTGTAATACAGGAAATACTTTTGCAGAATGTGATCGCCCAGAAATACCCCGTATTTTCATTGACCAGGTCCATTAAATGAATGAATATCAAATTCGAGATGTTTTTATGCATATTTTGAAGCTGAACATTGTGTGGATTTCTTATATAGCATTCCCTTATGTATTTATATTACAGTTGACACTCTTCTAAAAGGCGCTTCTGTCAGACGGACACACCTCTTTTCAAACATTTTTAATCAGGCCACATCTTAATACCCCGAATTAATACATTCCTTTTAAAGAGCCATTCCTAAGGTCAACATATTTAAAATCTGAATCTACAATATTATTGGACTCTATACTAAAGTAACACTAAAGTAATTCAGGAATGCATTTCGCTAGTATGTGCTAAGGGAAGAAGCAGCACAGCTTACATGTAACGTGCATGTGTGTATATGTACATATGTGAATTTAGCTGTGTTTATGTATACAAGAAGTACAAATATTTACTACGGCAGCTCGCGTAGAGTGTCTCCCAGTCGTACCCTCTCGTGCTCTCTCGTGATCTCTCGACTAGATCCTTGGCATACAAAAATATAACTTAAAGTGATATCAAACTCTTGACGGTATTTATAGCCATTAATCCGATTAAGGACTGAAATAATTGGAAACAAATTATAATCAGTATTGAGATGCAATTGCAATCAGGGCATCCGGGCTACCTGCTTATCCTTGAATGTGGTAAGTTTTAGTCTTTGGTGTACTTGTAATTTGGCAAATTGTTTTCCTACAATGGTCTGTAGTTTATTGCTTGGAAAGTGTGTTGCCATCACCGGAAATGGCGCTTCTGTTAGCAGCCGTTGCATTTTGCGCAAGCTAAGTTGCATTCCATTTATCAACTGTCTGGCGACATACGCGGCGTATGATTAATGCGCAGCGGATGGCAGCGACGCGTCTGCCAGTTGTGTGTGTGTGTGTCAGTGCGTGCCAACAAAGCGCAATGGCTGACATGGCTAAGCGCGCAGCCAAGGGTG